ATTTACCCGAACTCATTGGGCTAGTTGTATCAATGGAACAGCAAAGTAATTGCGACACAATAAATATATATATTTTCTCAAAAAACTTATTACAATTTGTTCATTTGTTCAAAATGACGACTATACTTTTGAAATAATTAATTGTTTCATTTTTTTTTCTGTATAATTAATAATGACAATATATTTTCAAGTCTTAAACCAGTATGCTCCTCAATCACTACAATTTTGTTGATCATAATTATGCCAACCGCGTCAGAACGACTCTGAGTCCAGACTTTTAATGGACCTAAAATTGTGTTAAATTTGTGTAACAATAGAATATATATTTAACGATATAATTTTTTTGTGGCTTCGTATAAAGGGGGTTAGCCCATTCCCTCGCCCAAAGTTTCCACCAGATTACACTTAATCAGGGCACTGTACAAATATTAGCGCATTAATTATTTCTAGATTCGACCAAAAATTTAAGCCTGCGCTTGTCAATGTTCTTAAATAACTACATATTTCTATAGTAAAATTTACAATCAAACGTAAAAACTATTAGTAATACTTGACTCTAAGAACTACATAAAATTACTCAAAAATTGTCGTTAAGAATCATTTTAACCGACAAAATACAATTTGATTGATTCTAGTTATTATTACAGAATTGATTAATAGACCAGTATCATCATTGTTTACTAATACTTAAGTGGCCATCTTCCATTTTTCTATGTGATTGCCGGAAACTTCGGTAACACGGTAAAAGGCAAAATTTGTTCCTATTTTAGCTTTTGTGTAGAACCTGACCTGGTACCTGTCATCGACACAGTTAAAGCGGGCGTATGGAAGAATAGAAGGGTGGTGTTGCTGTGCATTAGTTTTTTTCTGTTTTGTCTTTTTATGATCGAATGGGGGATAAAAACAGACTTCCTGCCTGATTCTATTGTTGTGCGAGAGCCCTGGGAAAAATCCGATGGATACGTCTTGACAGGTCACGGCTGTAGCTCACATTTAAGACTTAGACGCGAACATGACTCTATTCACTTTTTTCAATTAGCCGAGTCGAGTTACTTAATGTCGAATAAAATATATTCAGCTAGTGCGTTTCTGTAAGGAATAGACAGTGAAATCAAAGATTTTAAGCATCAGTATAATAACAATGAAAAATATACCTTTTTAGAGATATTAAAGATCGAAGAAAAATAAATAAATAATAATTATAATAACAAGATCAAAGAAAATAGTTTGTAACTAGATGCATTTAAGTCATTGTGGTTTATAACAATACATAATACTAAAAAAAAAAAAAAATTCATATTAGTAATAATAAAATAAATATAAGATTATAAGAATAAATTTATTAAAAATATTATTTTTAATGGTATCTATGTGTTAAATATTAAATATCTTATTACCAGGGTTCACACAATTTTAATTACTTTTAATTCAGCTAATATGTTTAGTTACTTTTTTAAAAAATAATTTTCACAGTTTCTGAATACGTTAGAAGCATATTTTGTATTATTTATCTCTAATAAAAATAAAAATGGAACAGTAAAATTGATTTAATTTTATCAAAATTTCAAAATAATAATTTCTTAGTTCTTTTCTTATAAAAAAATTGAATGGATCAATAATAACTTTTGCAAAGCCATTTTACTGTTAATTATATATATATAATATACATTCTTATATTTTCTAATTTTTTTTTTGAACACATTTATTATTTGACACAGTTGTTGGAGGAATTAAAAAATAAAGTCTTAAGATTAAAATTTACATAGTACGCATTTCCAATAGACTATATAATATGACCAGATATCTTGGTCATATTATATAAAATAATTTTATAAGCATAATAAAAATTTATATAATTTCAATAAAAAATTGTCTCGTTTCAAAATTTTAAAAGAATATAAGACAATTTTTAAGAAATATAGGAGAGTAATAATCTTAAATCCATTGTATAATATACTCAGAAAAAAAAAATTCTGTCCTCATAACCAACTTTAGAAGTTTTCGATCAAGATTTAAATGCTTTGGAAAGTCCTTGAGCTATTTTGAAGCAAACTCAACTTGATGGTATAGAATAACTAGTAGCATATTTAAAAAAAAACTTTTTTTAAGTTAAAAAAAACAATATATTTTTAATGCTTATCTATCTGAGAAGCAGTAAGATATAAGAAATACTGGCTTTATCATTTACAGTATATTCAGATCATATACCATTTGATAATGTGAAAATCAAATCTAGTACTAATGTAGAGCTATTGGAATGTTGGGATCAAATAGAGAAGAATAATTATAAATTATAAACATGATAACACTGGATGAGATTCTAATAGACCATGAAAAAATAAAGTGCTGAAAAAAATAAAAAACAGTTAATAAAGAATAGCTATGTATATTTTAAAAAGATTAGCAAAAAAAATAATTATTTTATAAGAGAAATTCAGTATTAAACTAATAAGAAATACACATGAAAATTGATGACATATTAGTATTAAACAAATGCAAAAGAAGATAAGTCCACTACACACAGCAAACGATTTGACAAAAAAACATAAAAGTTTGTAAACACTGTAAGACATGTAAAACAAAATAAACCAAGAGATAAATTCAGTTTAATGACTTTCTTAGGTCCGGCCACAAAGCCTTTTGAAATGATGCTAATAGACACAAACGGGAGCTTTGGTGGTTCGAAGGCTGCAAAAAAATATTCACATCTTTTAATAGATCACTTTTATGTACGAATACATTTTAACATCGAAAACAAATTGCAAATGATTTTGTAAAATTAGACAAAAATATAGCAGAAACAGATAAAATTGTTATGCTTCTCATCGATCATTATCCAGGATCAATTTCAAAAAATTAAAAAAAATGTTTAAATGAAACGTTTATACCAATGGCTTTACTTTACTTTTAATTCGCCCCAATACTAATGGAAATAACAAAAGACGAAACTAAACTCTGACAAAATCAGACGCTAAGTCGATGAAAAAAAAGTAGTTTTGACATTAAGTTACGGTTATTGCATTAAGATATCTGTTACAGGGCATATATATGTTTGAGTTTTTCCAAGTGATCGTAAAGAGAAAAAAATAGAAATTAATAGAATAAGGGATAAAAAAAACATTTGTAAATGCTATAAAATCACATAATTATAACAAGAAAATATTTGATAAAAATGAAAAATACTTTGAATTCAATGTAGAAGATTTGGTGTACACGAGTAATGAGAACATAATAAATAGGAAAAAATTAGATGAACTAAAGATTAGATCATATAATATTGTGAAGAAAATATGAATATCAATTCGCAGGATTCATACTGATCACCAGAAATTTGAATTAAACTATTTCCATTTAACAACACTTTTTCCGGCGTCTACATTGGATGAAGAAATAGAAGAAGATGAATAATAAACATTTTTAATACATTTTCTTCCAAGGATACGAAGATATAAAGAAAATGTATTTCTTTAAAAAAACTGTGAATTTGGTATTAAGATAAAATAGGTGTTATAATCAATGTAATGATAAAATACGAATTAAAAATCCTTTTTAAATTAAGTTGAGATTAAATTTTTTGTAGAAATTTTTGGATTAAGTCAAATACATCATGAATTCATATTATTTTAAACACATTTTAAATATCAGTTTTCTAAAAAAAAAAACTAATTTAAGTAATAATTTTTATATTTAATTTATATAGTTTAATATGTAATTAAATCATTTATTATTGTTGTCAATACATAACAATTATAAATTATAAAAGAAAGTTCGATTATTCTAATTTTAATATTCATTTAAGTTCATAAAAACCCAGCACAGTGGGTTCGTGGCATAGTTAGATCCAGTATAGATGATATCTGACAGTGATTAAAATCACTATCATAAAAAACGCTTCGATGCAAATAGTGTTTAACTTAAAAAAAAAAATTTGTTAAAATAGCATATTTTTGAATACGGTAGCCATTTGCGCATAGAAGATAGGTCGTCGGGACAAATTTTTTTTTTTTTTTATAGTACATAAAATAAGTTTTAATTTGATATATGTTTAAAGGACGCAGTATTTCCGGAACATTTTCAAAAATTAAGTTAAAAAAGTTAGTTTTTGTAAAAAAGTTTCTATTTTAAATCTCCCCCAATGAGCAGGTTAAGTGTTAAATTTTCAAAAAAATGATATCAAATGGAAGGGAAATATCTAAGGTATTAGTATAAAAAAAAATTATGTTGATTTGTTGATTTTTGAAAAAGTTATGGAAGTTTTAAGAAAAAAAGTGAAAAAATTTCGAAAATTAGCGATTTTTAAATTTGTAATTTTTTGCATATTTCCCTCATTTGCGGGGAACGAGGGAATTTTTTTCAATTTTTAAGGGTAATGTCTCCAACTAGATACGATTTGTGATCTTTTGACGTATTTTTGAAAGAAATCGGTCCAGTGAGAGCTGAGAAAAAGTGGCAATAGACATAAAAAAAAAAAACACATTATAGTAAAATTAATACCTTCTCCGCTTCGCATCGAAGCTAAAACAAAACTATTTAGACAATCGGTGTCATTGCCCATATCACTGACTTATTTTTAATGACTTTGATAACAAAAAATAGCTTAACACGACACATTTAAGTATCCAACGATAAAATAATTTTGTGTTGACCTTTATTAAAATTGTTCACCTATATTATAGCTTAAGATAGAAAATATATTTAAATCTAAATCAATAATCCATAAATATTATTTTACAAGAGACACTCAATATCTATGAATAAGAGTGTATAATTTGTAATGACTGTTTAATTATTATTACTATTATCTATTTTCATTATAATTTATTAAGTTGAAAATAAAATGAACTGAAAATACTTTAAATTAATAAAAAATAAATTTACAATTATTACATTTCAAATGGATTATTTCATAGAAATCATCAAGAAAATACATGAGAACTTTCAAGAATAATTGTTTATTGATACAAACATTTTTATCTCAAGAGTTATATTGAATACATTACTCTCTCAAAACTATGCAAAATATTAAACAGTTTAGTCAAGAAACAGAATCTTTCTATATACTAGTTCATGAAATTTTTATTTTTCTAATTATTTAAAAAAAAATTTCCTATGAATCTTCTACTGCACTACTCTTTTAAAAGTGATGTCCGAATTTCACATATTTATACTAGAAGTTTATAACGTATACAATGTATAGGACATTTTCGATAAATAGTAATAAAAATATTATATTTTCGGATCATTTTTTATAGTGCACGTCATCTGATATTAATTTTTGACTTATAGCGGCAATGACACCCATTGAGGTCGTTGTGACTGCGTTTTCGTCATCTTTGCACACTCATACACAGACACTCACTTGTACATACATTCTCACCGTGAAAATCGAACTCAATTTCTATGGCGCGTAGTTAATCAATAAAAAAAGGAAAATCTTTACACGGTGCGATGTACTGCGATAGTGATACGATGCATACAAGTAAATAAGAGAGAAATATCTGCGCAAAATGTATACACATGAATTTAAACGAGATTACTACTGGCAGTTTTATCGTCAGAAGAGCATAATAACGTTTCCCTGAAGTTGACAACTATGGAAAAAATTGCGAATTCAGGTCAACAGGGCAAGAAACTGCTGGACAATATGATTTGAACTACGTACATAGCGCAAAAGGTATTGAATAAAACCAATTTTATTTTATGCTTCGTAAAATTTACTATATTACAATATCGAGTATCGTTATAATACAAGTTAATTACTCCTAATGTAAAATATATTCCTAATATTATCAATAAAAATCATATATTTATCAGTAATAATGTACACTGCCAAATGCACTACACTAAGAACATCAATTAAAAGAAAAATACAGTTTTATGTTATATATAGTGTGCTTTACACAAACGTTTGAAAAACACGGATAGTAATATTTGTAACAACAAATAATATTATTATAGGTAGTTTTTTTTTTTTAAATTGAGCTAATGTTGTAATATATTTAATAACTAATTTAGTATCTTATCACATAATAGAAATTAAAAGATAATTTTATACATTTTGATGTTTGAGTTTAAAATAATAAATGAAATTCATTGGTCATTTTTTCAAAGACCTAGTAAAAAAAAAGAAAAGATAAATATTTCTCTTTTTGTGATGAATAGTTGATAGCACTCAGATAAAAAAAAAAAAACATAATCGGTAGCATGGCACGTGATGGCGAGCAAGTACAGCTTCAATAACTATACCGGTCGCTGTGCAATAAATTTAGTAGTCTGACTAGAAATTTTATAAGTAAAAAATCAAACATTTGTTTTTTCTAATCAGTCTCAAAGAGGACTCCCTTAGCGTTTAAGCGTCAAAAACTTGGCCAACGCATCGTAAATTACACTAGGACTTATGCTGCTGTCAGCGGTATACCGAACGCCGCTTGTTATGCCGTCTCGGTGACTGACCACTCCATATTCGCCCACTATGAATCCGTCGGCGGTTTCTTCTTCTACTCTGTACTTTCGGTAATTTTCGCCGTCCACGATGAACCCACTTTTTTTGTTCTCTACGGGTTCAACGGCGGTGGTGGTCTCTTGTATGTCACGTGTTCTGCCGTTGTTCTTCACGCTAATTTCTTCGTTCACCTCATAGTTTTCCTCGGGACGCCCGTATACTTTCGCAGGTTCTCCATACACCTTTGCGGGTTCTCCGTATACCTTTTCGGGCTGTCCGTAAATTCTTGCTGGTTCTCCGTATACTTTTGCCGGTTCTCCGTACACTTTCTCGGGTTCACCGTAAACTTTTTCTGGTTCTCCGTATATTTTTTCGGGTTCCTCGTACTCTTGCTCAGGTCGCTCGTAGGTCTGCTCGGAATGNTTCCGTATACTTTTGCCGGTTCTCCGTACACTTTCTCGGGTTCACCGTAAATTTTTGCTGGCTCTCCGTACACTTTTTCGGGTTTCCCGTAAACTTTTTCTGGTTCTCCGTATATTTTTTCGGGTTCCTCGTACTCTTGCTCAGGTCGCTCGTAGGTCTGCTCGGAATGCTGATAAGTCGACGGTTGTTCCGTTTCATCCCACGTAGATGGGTCACTATANTGCTGATAAGTCGACGGTTGTTCCGTTTCATCCCACGTAGATGGGTCACTATAGTCCACATACGCCGTCGTGGACGTCTCACACTTATCCGTTGACGAGCTGTGCCAAGGACGACTTGCACTGAACGACACCTATGGCGAACAAAATAATAAAAGTTAATCGCTTACTCTGTTTAACAATTCAAGAACATTATTTTTGCAATTAAAGTGGCATTTATCAACTCTCTAATTTGATAAAATTTCCATTGTCCACCCCAAAACAGATGTGTTACCAAATTTTTATGATACAATCTGGTTTTATAAATGGACAATACTACCATATGAGTTTTTTAGAGCAATATAACGCTTGAACCCGTAGACATATCTTATATTGTAATGAAATTAAACCACTGCACACGGTGATTTTAAGGTTGAAACGAAAATTCGTTATTATAATCGATTTTGGCGTAACAAACTGTCCTCCGCTAATAAAAAACAAACTAATTAAGGGCCCATTTAGTACTATCGTCGAAACATCAATCTCGAAATTATCTATCGCCAAAACGGGGGTGACATTCGGCAGCGTCGAAAAGTTCTATTCCCATAAGTATTCGTGTGCCTAATATTTTACATTGGATTATTAAAAACAAGGACATCAAATGGAATGTTACAAACCGAACTATACGCGATTCAAAAGTTTACATAGCTGTCGTGTTTAAGCTGTTGAATTGCCGGCCTTCAACAACGAACGTCTCAAACTCAATTAGAGTAAAACGTTTAGCCTCCAAGACATTGTACAATTAACGTATAACGAAGTTAAATATTGTTATTTCTATATACAATGTATATAAATAATAGACACGTATCGCTCGTGCCAATATCTGTACCGTCGCATCGTTAATTGCAAACTACCTATGAACTAAATTCGATAAAATATCACATCGAATAGAGTATCATAGCTCGAGAAAATTTCGACACTTTCTTTGACCTATAAAATGTACACGGCCATTCGATTCGATCAACGTCATACGTCCTCTAAAAGTGTCTTGGTCATCAATAGATAATCTTGATAAATTAAAGTAATCTTTTTAACGGTAACGCGGACTAAGGAGTGATACACGAACAGCGAGGTACTAGTTTACATCGGTAACTGAGATACAGACAGTGATTAGAAAAAAATATATTATTCAGTCAGAAATAATTATAAAATACGGACACCATATTTTACTGGTTGTGGAAATGAATTTTTTTTTTATGGTATCAATTGTGTTTCACCATAAATGGTCGCGTGAAAATGATATGATAAAATATTAAATTATATTGCACTGTAATTCTATTAATCTTAGAACATGGGTCACACAGATGACCTGCCAAGTATTTATTTCGCGGTCTTATTTCGAAAGAATAAAATCAACAACCGGTTGCCGAATACCCGACACTTTTTACACGTTACATACATTAATATATTATGTATAGAACGTATATGTTGTATACATTATATATAGATATGTAACTTAAATGCCTCCAGGTTAGAACAAAATTTATTTATATTTATAAATAAATTTATAGTAGCCGATGTAGTCCAACTATGCAATATGTATAATGAGGACAGGACTTTTTAATTGCCGGTGAATCGACCAACGATTATAAATTATCACAATTTGCAACATGTTACACTAATCGCGTCGATGGCCTTAGTCATGGCACAAATATTTAACGTTTACAAACAAACGGTCAAGAGCAAAATTCATTTGTATCAACACGTCCGCACAATCCAATACTTCTGCAACGATTATCATTATTTTATCAACTCCCACGTATTACTTTTACTACTATAAACAATTTTTTGTCCATACTTGTTGTATAATTATTTCATCTCGCACCCCAGGGCAAATACCTTTTTGTAACAGACTATTATAAACTAGCAAGTAAAATTCGGTTGACATAACGATAAACACTAGCAAACACCATTACAAGACATCATTTTATAAGTACTTCAGGCTTAACTTGGTAAAAAATGCATATTTTAAGTATATTTTTTATATCCAAGTGCTCGTATACTGTTCAACAAAAATGATAAACTCTTGTATAATTCTTTTAGTGTTCTAATGACCTCAAGACAAGTAACACTAATTATTTATTAATATAACTTACACTCAATGAACAAGTGTAAGTGATTAAGGCTTTAATGATCATTTAATATACATGATATGAACTATAACTCTTTAAAAACGTATATACATTATCGTAAAACATAGGTGGGCGTTTTACTTAAAAAGGTTCATAGAAAAAATATTTGAGGAAAACCAATACAAAATATATTCTTATATTTTTACATATTGTACAAATACTATCAAAAGCTATACAATTTAGTAGTTTAATTAACATTTAGAAATGTAACAAAGGTTACAAAACAATTAAAATTTGTGATAGCATTTGTGTTAATTTAAAAAGAAACGTACGTTTTTTGAAAATAAATAATAATATACTTAAATTCTTATAAAAATAAAAAAAAGTATATGACCTTCTGATGTAATGTCAAAATTAAAAATTTTAATAGTAAAACTTCAAACATTCTAAGTGCCAAGACAAAACAAAATACATTATTCCTGGTAAACGTTTTATGATTATAGTTTCACTTTTATTCATATTTAAATTTACCAAACTGGATTGTCTGGCGTATTTTAATCTTTATTTGTAATTTATCAAACACTATATTATACACCTATTTATGATTATAATAAATAAATATATATATTTTTTTGGCACATAAAACTTGGAAATAATTACTTTTTATTTATATCAGCGAAGGAGAGTTTAAGTTAAATCAATTTTGACTTGATCAATCTCAAGAAGTCAAATTTTTCATATTCACAGAAAACATACCTAAATCCATAAGACTAAGACATTAGACACGAGGCTTAGTTATAAGCCTATTCAATTTTTCTTACTGAGAGCCTTATTTTTGTAGTTATTTTGTGTATGGACGTTATATTTTTTCAAAATTTAAAAACACATGTATGCATTCTTCACAATTTGAAACACAATTTATTATATTTTAATATATTAACGCACAGGTTGTATAAATAATAACTCGAAAGCTTTCTGAAAAGTTATAGATATCAATAAACAATTATTATGATTTGATAATTATATACTCGTATATTAAGACAAACATTAAAATCACTAGTCGTTATTGTAATGTTAAAAATAATTAATCAATATTTGTTGTCTTACAATAATATTTGAACATATGAAGAAAATGAAACATTATGCTTGAAATATAATTAGTTCATTTAAAATAATAATTCAATTATAAATTTCAAAACTTTTTCCTGAACTAGTATATTTTTGCCACTATTAAGCCTTTAAATTCTTTATTTAAATTCTAAAAAACAATATTTTGGATTCACCGCAAGTCCAAGTTTAGTTTACAATATATGTCAACATTTTAACCGGATTTTCGTACAAGTTAATAGCTATTACGACTCAACATTTGGATTTTACCGAAATTATCAAAAAGTTTTCGATTCAGTATGCAAAACCGAAATGACTGCGTGTTTAGAACTTTCGAGTAAAGCTCTCTGAAAGTTCTGATTATTTCTCTGTGGTTTTCGATAGGACACTAAACGCAGTTGAACGTTTTTTCAAAAAATAAAATAAAATCTATTGTACTAACCGATAAACTGAGAAAAACGACGACGACGGCTATGGCGACAGAAAGCGCTTTGCGCATATCTCTTGCTCACGTTTTCCCGACGAACCGGCTGTGGTAGCTGTCCGGACATGTACACATGATCGGACGTCGCGGCGACACTGGACGGCGGTCAACAACGTCGGTCACGCATGGCACGCCAATAACACGTATAAAAAATCAAAAACGGAGAAAAAAACGGGACGCGCCGTAAAGTAGTGGTGGACCGAGACCTTGAGCGAGTCGGTTCTGTTATGCATTGTACGGGCGTCACCACGCGGGGGTGAGACTTTTCCACCGCCGATGACCGTATTAATTACGACTAGTTGTTATTTTTATTATTGTGATGAGGTGTGCGATGGAATTTCGCGGTTTGGCGCCACTTGCACCAGTCGTCGTGACCGTCTCGACTGGTGACTACCGGGTGGACCGGTAACGCGACGAGGACACACAGTATGGCGACCACTGACCGCCGACGCGGTGCCAGCGCTGGTCGAATGCGTTGCACTCCGCGAATCTCAACAATAATAAAAATGTTGACGCTTTTTTCACCGTTGTTCTTCTCTGTGACAGACTGTACCGAATTCCAGTGCACAACAACACGTTAATTGTTGTTATCGAGCAACATATCTCTTGGGTTTTACAACTTCGAGTAATCAATAAAAATATATAGACGACTAAAAAACCAGGGCTTAAAACCGTTAATAAAAAAAAAAAAAA